GTGTGTGTGTGTGTGTGTGTGTGTGTGTGTGTGTGTGTGTGTGTGTGTGTGTGTGTGTGTGTGTGTGTGTGTGTGTGTGTGTGCCTCCGATGACGCTCTCAGCTATCGCCTCTGCTGGCTGGTGTGGTTTGAATTTGCCGCCGCAACAAAATTCAAACAATTCGAAAGCTGTATGGAATCATTCGCCAATCTTCCCAACTTGAAACGGCCAAGCAAGCAACAAGCAGGAAGCAGGCAGGCGAAGATGTCTGCACGACGACGGCCACCGCTTGGTGGCATGAACACGGCCACGGGCCCACCACCGGGCAAGGCGCGCAACACGGTGGCCACCATGTCTCGAGACGACCTTGAAGACGCATACTTGCGTATGAAGGACAAAGTCATGGAGTACAAAACCACGGCAAAGGATGCAGAGACCCAAAACACAAAGTGCGTGATTGATCCGTGTCATGCGCGAGTGTGTGTCATGCGTATCATAAGAGTGTGTGTTTGTGTGTGTTGTGGGTGTGTTGTGTGTGTGTGTGTCATGCGTATCATACGAGTGTGTGTTGTGAGTTGTGTGTGTGTGTTGTGTGTTGTGTGTTGTGTGTGACGTGAGGAAGCACAGGGGCCCTCGCTTGCATGATCCGTTGTCACAATGCTTACATTGGGGATTGGTTCTTGTTGTGTGTCTGCTTTGGTGAACTTTTCCTTTTTGGATGTAGATTGCAAACACAGGTTTCACGGCTCACAAAACAACTGCAAAAGCTGTCAAAGGGGTTCAACGCTCCAGAAGGTCAGCAAGCCTGCCCATGCAACACACACACACACACACACACAAAATATGTACGTGTCTGCACACAAGCTACACGCATCCGCAAACGCTCGCAACAAAGGCTGCTGAGTTAACCCTCACCTTGCTTTGCTGAGTTAACCCTCACCTTGCTTTGCTGATCGCTTCACACATGCGTATAGCCTTTGAGATGGTTGAGATGGAAAACAAAGTTGCGGCGCAGGAAGCGCGCATCGCCCAACTCGAACAGAATAATCAAACACTGCAGCGAAAACTTGCCGTGGAGAAGCAACGGACAGCCGCTTCTGGTTCAAAGCGAAAAGGGTCGTATGCTGGTGTCTCATCTGTTGTGGTACGTCCTGTCTGCGTCTGCATGCCATAGATAGCAACCACAAGACACGCAAGCATGAAGCTCTTCACCAAACCCATTCTCGTACGCACCTGAGGCACTCTGTGCTGGCACCCACAATGGCCAATCCACATCACCACCGCTGACTCTTTGCTGCTGCCCTCACTTCCACTTGACTCCCCCATCCAATTTCAACCAACCAGCGCCGTGAGTCCATGGGTCTGACGCCTGGACGGGAGCAGAAGCTCAAGTCGCGTATCGCGACACTCGAAGATGAGATTGCGCACCTCAAGGCCGACCTCGAGCGAGAGTACGCTGATCCTACACTGGTGGTGGTGGTCGTCGCGGTGGTGCTGTTGTGATGTTGGTGTTGTGGTGACAGCGGTGGTTTCAGCTTTGGGGAGGAGGTGGTCGTGCATATGGCCAAGCTGTTTGCGAGAGGGACAGCAAAGATGTCCTTTAAGGATTCCATACTCTCAAACACATGGTCACGCACACACACACACACACACACACACACACACACACACACACACACACACACTGCGTGTGCAGGAGTACGGCGAGGGCTGCGGCGGAGGCGCTGGTGACGGAACGCGATGGAGAAGTGGAAGAGCTGCAATCCCACGTGGCAGCAGCGGGTCGACGTATCCAAGAACTCGAGACATCCTACCACGAGCTGCTTGTGAGTTGTTTGTTTTGAGATGGCGCCAGGCTGTCAACATGTTTTATGCATACTTGTGCGCTCAACCTATGCACACACATGCACACACATGCACACAGCATGTGCAAACCCCCCTCCCTCACAAAAACACACATACGCATACACACAACATGTGCAAATCCCCCTCCCTCACACACACACACACACACACACACACACACACACACACACACACACACACACACACACACACACACACACACACACACACACACACACACACACACACACACACACACACACACACACACACACACACACACACACACACACACACACGCTCACCTACTTTCACACATACGAACCCTCCTCGCTTACGCACATCACACCACCACAGAAACACAACAAGAAGGCGTCCATCAAGGACGACGTGGAGGTGATCCGCATCAAGCGGGAGCTGCGCGACAAGGCACAGGCCCTGGCCGACCTGGAGAGCAAGTACGAGACGGCATTGCGGCAGATGGAAGAGCTGTCATCCAGCCACGAGCACGCAACATCACAGCTGCGCGACCACCAACAGAAGCTGACACAGAGCATGCAGTCGAATGCAGAGCTCAAGGCCCTGCTGCAAGCAGAAGAGGTGCGAGCGCAGCAGCTGCCACACAAGGAAGTGCAGATCAAGAACCTCAAGGCCGAGATTGAGTCGCTGAAGCAGGCGAACAGGGAGCTGGTGGCGACGGCGTTCGACCAGGAGCGCGAGCGGCAGCACGAGGCAATGCGGCAGGAGATGCAGCGTGCGCTGGATGAGGCGAGGGCGGAAAGAGAGAAAGCAGAGGCAGAGTGCACACAGCTGCGGAGCAAACTGGCAGACGAGACAACAGCGCTGGCGACGAAAACACGCGACTACCGGGAGGCGCACACTGAGCTTCTCAACGCACGTGCCCAGGTGGAGGACTTGCAGGGCAAGCTGCAGTTCTTTGTACGGGAGAGCTCGGTTGACCTGCGAGAGGTGGAGGAGGCGTTGGCGATGGTGCGGCGAAGGCACGATGCAGAGAAGGACAAGGAGGCGCTTGCGTTCCTCCACAAGGTGGATGACGATGATGACGATGAAGATGATGCCAACGGTGATGGTGCTGGTCGTGCCGGGAGAAGAGGAAAGGCGGGAAAACACGACGAGCTGCGAGCGCTGCAGCTGGCGAATTCGGACGCGTATGTGGAGATTGACAAGCTGCGGCGCATGCTGGATCTGGAGCACAGCATCTCGAGCGAGTACAAGCACAAGGTGAGCGACCTTGAGCAGCGGCTGGCGGAGAAGCAGCAGCGACACGACGAGGAAATGACAGAGCTTGCGCAGACGGCCGACACGCGCCTGCATCGCATTCGGCAGCTGGAGCAGCAGCTGCGCGATGTGGCGTACGGTGTGCACCAGGTTCGCATCCGCCGCGGTGAAGGCAAGGCAGGCGACCGTGCCGCTGGTGGCGATGGCGGCGACGGTGAGCAGCACGGCAGGGTCGCGACGACATCGGCACCAGGGGCGGTGCAGTGGCGTGGCGTGGGCGACGCCGCCGCCGCGCAAGGGCCGCGTGATACGGAAACGTTGGGGGATGCCAGCGTGCCCGAGACGCTGGATGTGGCGCGAGGGGACAACGTGTTTGAGATGCACATTGTGCGAGTGGAGGTGAACGAGGATGCTGGTGGTTTGCTGAGCACGAGCGTGCCGGCGCTGTTTGTTTCGTACGACTTCTTCGACTTCCAAACGCAGTCCACCACGGTTCGCGTGGGGATGCGGCCTGTCTTCAACGAGGCGTCCACCTTCCTCGTCACCATGAACGACGTGTTTGTCAAGTACCTGTACAAAGGTGGCATGGTTGCCGAGCTGCACCAGGCCTTTGGCAGCAGCTTCGACACCATCGCCGCCGCCCGTATCAGGTTTACCCCTCTCATCATGGACGAGGCGGGCGCTCGCGGCGAACGTGTGCACATGGCGTGCAAGCTGTTCTCGTTGCGGCACCCGGCCACCGTGCTGGCGACGCTGTACCTGTGGATGCGACTGCACGTGCCCATGGAACGCGCCATGCGGTTGTACAGGCAGCGGCTGCGTGCTGCAGACTTTTTGCAGCAGCCCAAGCACGACGGACGTGGTGACGGTGGTGCTGGTGATGCTGCTGTGAAACATGGGGAAGTACGAGGGCCAGCGGGCGCGTGGGAGCAAGCCGTCGTGGCAAAGCAGGGGACACATGACGTGACGGCGGTTGAGCCTGGCTTGCCGGTGGTCGACAACGCACTCTCCATCTCGATCATCTCTGGTCGATTTGATACCACGGCCGACACGCCACCGTCGCTGTTTGTTGCGTATCAGGTGCTGGCGGAACCTGAATTCAGCACGCGCACGGCACCGCACACGTGGACACCGTCGTTCCACAGCCAGCACACCATTCCCTTCAAGGACACGCCGGAGATGCACACCTTTATTGAGACGGGCGAGCTCGTGCTCATTGTGATTGATGACACGGACGCCAGTGGCAGTGGTGTTGGTGTTGGTGTGGACGAAGATGGGACAACGCTGCGCGATGTCAGTGCACGCCCCACTGCTTCTGCTGCCGTTCACGGCGCTGGCGGCGGTGGTGGCAACGGAGATGAGGCGTCATACTTTGGCGCGTGCCGTGTTGAGTTGCGTCAGCTCTTGTCGGCCCCGACGCACCGCGGCGAGTTTGAAGTTGTCAACGAGGATGGCGCTGTTGTTGGGCAGCTAGTGGTTGCTGTTTCGCTGCACCACATGCTACCCGATGTTGTGAGGCAGGCAGCAGCAAGGGCACCCGAGCTTGGGCATGCACAGGCGGAAGAGTGGCGCAGGCAAGCAAGCGAGTGGCGTGACGAGGCGGCAGTATGGAAGACGGAAGCGCAGCACAACAGGCCGTCGCATGACAGGAGCGATTCCGCTGCTACTGCTGATGCTGCTACTGCTGCTACCGCTGCTGCAGAAGAGCGACAACAACAACAACAACAACAACAACAACAACAACAACAACAACAACAACAACAACAACAACAACAACAACAACAACAACAACAACAACAACAACAACAACAACAACAACAACAACAACAACGTGGGTGGGCCCTTGCATCGGATGTGACCACAGATGACGACGACGGTGATGATGACTATAACGAGGGCGAAGATGGTAGTGGGCGTGACCACAGTCACGATCATGTCAACGCTCCGCCAGAGACCCAGTCACAGCGGGAGCGCAGGATTGTTGCCGCGATTATGGGAGAAGAGAGCGAGCGTGGTGATGGGGAGGATGGTGGTGCCGGCGACGACAATGAGGAGATGGGGGTGCACGCTGGAGAGATGGCTGAGACACAACAACAAGAACACATGGCCGACGTTGGGGAGCACGAGCGAGAACACGACCAAGCGGTACCGGGAGAGCAACGGGTACATGAACAACAACAGGAAGAACAGCGACAACAGGAGGAGCTACAGCAACAACAGCAGCAACAAGAGACGAAGGAGGAAGAGCATGCCGACGAGGATATACCAAACATTGGGCAAGCCACCGGGGAGTTTGGCACAACTGACAATGTCCGTATGCACAACAAGAATCAGTATTGTGTGTGTGTGTGTGCGCGAGAGCGTCGTGTTTGTTTGTGCGTGTGTGTGTATGTTTCTCTCTGTGTGCGTCTCTGTGTCTCTGTGTCTGTGTTTGTCACTCCGCGTCTCTCTGTGCCTCTCTCTCTCTTTCACACTCTGTGGTGACGTTGCTCGCACCTGCCCACCCTTGTTCACGCTACTGCTGTCACATCAGGTGAGTTCGAAGCTGCTGTCTGGCACGCCGCCTCTATCCTCAGATGGGCATTCCCGAGCATCGACAGGCATGTCGCTTTCGCCAACAAACACGCTGGGGACAGACACCACCGCCTCGTCGTCATCAAAGGAGCGCACGGGTGGCAAGAAGAAGACGGTGTCAGTGTCGCAGGCGCCGCCCATGTCCATTCAAATTGCAGGGTACGTGAACTGAACTGCGTCTGTGATGGTTTCATGCTCACGCACACGCACACTGTTGCTCAGTCACTCTCTCTGGCTTACACATGCACACACACACACACGCATGCACACACACACACATACACACACACACACACACGCACACACACACACACAGACTCGTGTTCCCGGAATCGTCGGTGGTGTACAAGCAACCGCCTGGGACATTTCTCTATGTCAGGTGAGTTCACTAGATAGAGAGCTGTTTCGCCAACAGCTCAGAGTGATTGTGTGTGGTTGGTTGTGCATAGTGTTGCGCGCAGCGTGGCTCCTTGCGACGCCATGGGCACCCCATCACATTGCCAATGATCTCATCATCGCGTTTCACACTTGCTTGTGCGAAAGTTGTCTTCTGCTGCTGTTGCTGCTGTGACTGTTGTTGTTGCTGTTGCTGTTGCTGTTGCTTTTCGTTTCTTAACTTCTACTCCTCTCCAATCTCTTTCATTCTACCCTTCTCTCCATTCTCCACAACCTTTTTGTGCTCTTCGCTCCATCATCCCGACACCTGCCACCCCATGCCCTACACAGCTACGAGTTTCTCGGCCTGCTCGGAGATCAGCGCCTGGAGACGCCTGAATCGCTGCCGATCCCGCCAGCCAACACGATTGTTCCCTGCGACCACGTGAACCGGTTTTTCTTCGACGGCCGCGCCGCAGAGGGCACAGATGTGGCTGACAAGTCCATCGTCAAGGGACTCAAGGCTCTGGCGAAGAGCATCAAGGCAAAGGTGCGTCTCGTCGGTTGCGGAGTGGGGGGGGGGGGTGTTTGCTTGTGACTTCATACACCAACTCATGCCCGTCTTTGAACCCGTTTCCCCCTCATCCACCCATCTACCCATCCTCTGACATGCTTGATGTTGTTGTGATGCACGCGACGCACGTTGGCTTTGCTTGATTGTGTTCCGATGCACGCAGGCCTCTGCGCTGGTCCAGTTTGAGGTCGTTGTTGTTGGCGACGATCTCTGTGATGCCATTGGCGTTGCCACAATCGACGTTGCTCAGGTACCCTTACACAGACAGGCAGACAGACAGACAGACAGACAGACAGACAGACAGACAGACAGACAGACAGACAGACAGACAGACAGACAGACAGACAGACAGACAGACACACACACACACTACACACACACATACAAAGACACACACACAGACACATACACACATACACGTCAAATACACACAAATAACACCCACAACCAAACCATACTTGGCAGTTGTACATGGCAAACCGGGATCTTGACGACGAGCAGCTGCCCATCTTGGCTATGAACAACCCTGGCGTCTGCGTTGGCCACATCCTTCTCTCCACTCGCCTCATGGATACACTCAACTTTCTCCTCCCAAACACGCGCAAGAAGCTTCGTTCGTGAAGCTGGCGCTCATACGCAAAGTTAGCTTAACTGAACCTCCCAACCTCTGTGTGTGTGTGTGTGTGTGTGTGTGTGTGTGTGTGTGTGTGTGTGTGTGTGTGTTTGTGTGTGTGTGTCTCTCTCTCTCTCTCTCTCTCTCTCTCTCTCTCTCTCTCTCTCTCTCTCTCTCTCTCTCTCTCCCTCTCTCTCTCCCTCTCTCTCCCTCCCTCCCTCCCTCCGCTCTCTGTGCTCTTGTACACGTTTGTTACCGACAGTGTTCGTACATGAACCACCATTGCAGGCACTACTTCATCTGTGCATATTCACGCCGTCTTCATGCCATGTACATTTCAACGTTATCTTGATGAGCGTGTGGGTTTGTTTACGCAGCCAATCAACATACCCCCTCCCCTCTCTCTTGTGCACACACGAGAACCACTCACAGGCATGTGTGCCTTTTGTCCCTCCCCCCTCCCCGCATTACAAACATAAAAAGGCAAGGGAACCAGCATCATGCATTTGTCGTTCGGTTGTCGAAGGCTTTTGCTTTTGTATTGGATCTCTCAATCGCGCGGCAGCTGGGGGTCGTGTATGTGTGCGTGTTTGGTGTCACCCCCGTGAGCGGATACAGTCCACCTCGCAGCACTCCTCAGTCCACAACGACACAGCAAGCAGACACATGAACAACAGCAACCGTACACAGCCCACACACGTCGTCGAAGCAACACAGAACAAGGAACAACAACAAGACACGCGACGACAGCGGGTAAAGGGGCCACGCGCACTTGGAGCTCACAGTGCCGCATGTTAGTCAGTCAACCAGAGACAAGTTGAGGAGGGAGCGAGGAAAGGCGCGCTGGTGAGGTTGAGAAGGGGGAGTGGCGATGACGCTCAGTAAGGGGCGTTCTTGGGGCGCTTGAGCTGGACCTTCAGGCGCTTGCCGCCAATCTGGAAGCCGTTCATGGCCTGGATGGCAGCCTGGGCAGACTGGGGGTTGTCGTACGACACAAAGCCGAAGCACTTGCTCTGGCCCGTGTACTTGTCAACAAAGACCTTGGAGCTGATGACGTTGCCAAAGGACATGAAGGTAGCGGCGAGCGAGTGGTCGTTCAGCTCCTGGGGCAGGTGGTAGATGAAGAGGTTGGAGTTGGGCGGGCCCTCCTTCTGCGGGGCGCGGGCGGCGCCGCCATATGGGGCCTGCGCGTACGGCTGCTGGCCAAAGCCGGCACCTGGATACCACTCAGCATCAACTACATGCGCGGACGAAAAAGATGCACACAGAACGACATACACGCAACCACAAACGGACAGAAATACACACACACACACGCACAAAAACAGACACAGACAAACACACAAGACAAGACGCACATACAAACACAGGTACCACCATATGTACAGACACAACAACGACAACGATGTGTACACAAACAGGACGACCGAGGAACAAAAAACAGCAACCGAGGCCACGCAACACCACCAACCACAAACCACGCACGCGCCATAGAGAGCGAAGAGGCAAGCAAGCCAGGGATGGAGCAACGAAATTGAACAAAACGAAGACAGGAATGGAGGGTAATGGGCAGAGCAAGGGGCGGAGGAAGCACAAGGGGCAAGCAACGAGGGATTGAGGCATGTAGCAGCCAACAAAAGCCGGTCGCACTCGTGGACGCATCCAGTGGTGGGCACAGAAGGAAAACCCCCAGGAACGAACGAGCGAGCAGCCAATAAAACAGAGAGTGTGAACGCGCACCAGCCGCGTCAAGCCAGCCACCAAACATATTCCTTGGCGCCACACGACTGACACGATCACCAGCAACTCATACAACAATAACAACACAAACAACTTAAACTTAAACAACAAAACAGCAACTGATAGGACCCTGAATGTTGCAACGAGCCAAACAGACAAAGAAACGGCACAAACAGAAAGGAACGCCACTCAAGACAGCCAAGAGAGTGGTGTGGCGGGCGTGGTGGTGGTGGTGGTGGCGGCGGCAGCGGCGGGCGACGGTTGCGAGAACACCGCGCGGAAGCAAGGCACGATCACCTACCGTTGAACTGCTGGACGCCGTACATTGCCTGGGCCATGTCCTGTGCGCCAAACATGGCGTTGGGTGGGAAGCCGTACATGCCCATGGGCGGCATCTGGCGCTGCATGCGGCGCTGCTGCTTCTGCTTCTCTGTGTCAGCAATCTTCACAACCATGGGCGCGCGGCAGCCTGATGCGCGCGTGTGCGTGTGTGCGTGTGCGTGCACATGTTGTGCAAGTGAGGGGGTGAGGATGTCTGGGCTGGCCAAGCAAGCAGTCACATTGCTCTACATAGACACACACACACACACTCACGCACACATGCACGTATACACACAGACAGAAACGAAAAGCGTGGTGAAATCAACAATCAACCGCACCCACGCAACAAGCGCAGGGTGCAAGGCGGTTAGGCTAAGCGCACCCTCCATGGTGGTGCTGTTGTGAAGCTTGGCAATGGCCTGGTTAGCGGAGCCAGCGTTGGTGTACTTGACAAATGCGCAGCCCTTGCTCTGGCCCTCGGGGCCAATGAGGACGTTGACGCTCTCAATCTCGCCAAAGGGGCGGAACATGGCCTCGAGGTCGGCCTCGGTGCATGTCTTGGAGATCATGCCAACAAACAGCTTGCGGTCATCTGAAAAAAAAATTCAAACAAAAAAAAAGTACAGCGAAGCGCGGGCATGGGGCGAACCGGTGAGTGAGAAAAGGCAACAAAGAACACAAGAGCGTGGCAGCGAGCACAGCAACACCGAAAACTCCACACACACACACACACACACACACACACACACACACACACACACACACACACACACACACACACACACACAAAACACAGACGCAAACACACAACAAAACGGACCACTGAAGCACAAATTGCAGAGGGAAACACACCACCACGCTGCTCGCTGTCCGCAATCTTGACTTGCATGGGGTTGGCCATCTACACGGACAACATCGACAAAACGAATCGTGGTCACCATGAGAACAAAACCCAAAACTTTTGAGAGGTTGCCGCACGATCTGACGCACAGAGCGTGCTCACCACATGCACGACACACAAGAGTGCTCACCCCTCGCACACAAAAAAGCACACACATACGCACAAAACAAAGGAACGGTGTGATGGAACGTACGGTGGGAAGAGTACGCTTCTCGTGGAGATCAGCAATGGCGCTCAGAGCAGATTGGCGGGAGCAGAAGGTCACGAAAGCGCAGCCTGCGAAACAAAAACAAAGCAAAGCAAGTTGGTGTGAGCCAGGCGATACAAACAATACAAGTTGAGACCACACGGCGAGAAAGACGGCGCAACAACATGAAATGCAGCATGCACGCATGCACGCATGCGCAGTACACCACGAACGACTGAAGCGACCGACGGCACAAACAAGCACACGCACAGACAGCCAAACCCATGCACACACATGCAGCCAGCCAGACTTGCCTCGGGACTCGCCGGTCATCTTGTTCTTGAGGATCATCATGTCATGGATGGCACCATAGGGCTGGAGAAGGGCAGTCAACTGCTCCTCGCCATAGGACTTGGGGAGCTGGCCAACAAAGAGCTTGATGGCATCCTCGTCCTTGGGAGGGGGCATGGTGGCCGGGGTTGTGACGGGAGGGGCAGCGTCAGTCATGTTCCTGTCCATGGAACAAATCAAACAGCGATGACACGTTGGCGGGTGGCATAATAAAGACATGAGTTTGATTCATATGGTCTCGTTTCCGTCAATGTGGAAGAGCCGGCACGCGGAGCAAAGATGCACGGTGACGCGAATGCGGACAACGACATGCAGCAGCAAGGAAGCAACTGGCGATGGGCGACCAAGAGGGCGGACGCACGAGGAAGGGAGAAGGGCTTGTGTCGAGAGGCAACACATGCAAATGCACACATACCCACACACGTGAACAGAGGCACATGCACAGACGCCCGCTCACACAAGCCCCATACACCACACAACGAAGTCTGATCAAACGACGCCACCGCGCAGTGGCACGCGAACGTACGTTTGTTAGAACAAAGGTAAGGCGACGACGACGACGACGACGACGGAAGTACGAAACGGTACACGGAACCGACGCGACGAAGATCACGGGAGACCAACAGCGAGACGAAAGCGGGGGAAAGGCCGAAGACGACGACGTACACGACACACGACACAAGACAAGACAAACGAAGCACACACACCACAAGGTGACACGAAGCACACGAGACAAGGAGGAAGATGAGAGAGAAGACCAGCAAGAGGGAAAAAGGCACAAAAGCCAGAGCAAGCGGGAAGCGCTTTTTGCGCCTGCTGCTTGTGCTTCTTTTGGTCGCGTGTCCATGCCTCTCTATCTTTTTGTGGAAGGACAATCAGTGCGTGTCGTTCATGAAATTTCAGCACGCCAAACGTCCTGAGTCAGCATTTCTTCGGCCAGCAAGGACAGCGAGCAACAACACCACCAAGCGAAGCAAAAAGGGTGTGTGGTGTGGTTTGATTGGATGTGAGATGTGGCGGGTGATTGGAGGACAACGACGACGCGCTGCTGCCTCTGCTGTTTTCGGTGCTGCCAGTGTCAGAGAGGGCTTGGTGCGACCACCATTCACGCAAGCTAGTGTACATGCGCTGGGGACAGCGGGAGCAGCAGCGGGAGCAGCGGGAGCAGCAACAGCAGCAGCAGCAGCAACAGCGGGAGAGAACCGACAGTGGACTCAGCACGTTCGAGGAGTGCATACGACAGCCATGAGCAGCAACAAAGCAGCAGACCTATGGATGGAGGTGATTGCCCTTGGCAAGCAACCAGGCGTCACAGATCTCAGCCAAGGCTACCCTGACCTCCCAGGTGCACAATTTGTCATGTGTGTGTGTGTGTGTGTGACGGGGAGGGCAAGCCGGGACTTGGGCGTGTGAGGGACACACGTGGGTCTCGCACGACCATGCACCTAGAGGATTTGTGCTGCACCCCAACAAGCTTTCCCTCCTCCATTGTTGTACGAACGTCAGGTCACTTCACTTTACATGCACATGACATCACTTTCCTCATGCTGTTTTTGTTTGTTTGTTTGTTTGTCACAGGTGACCGCAAGGCACGCGAACTTGCTGCAGACATCATCCTCAATGGCGCCGAGGATGACTTTAGCGTGAACCAGTACTCCCCAGCCATTGGTGTGTCACATCAACTCACGCTTGGCAACCCTTTCCCGCTTCTTTCCACATTCACCCATTCACCCATTCACCCATTCACCCATCCATCATCCCCATTATCATGAGCTCATTTCTGGGTTTATGCTGCTCCCCCCCCCTTCCCGGGTGTGCGTGCCCATCCACGGTCTGCTCATGCGATGCCAGGCGTGCCGCAACTGCGTGAGGCGCTGGCCCGCTTCTACACGGCATGGTATGGCGAGAGCGCTACATATGACCCGGACACCGAGGTCTGTGTTGCAACCTCGGGCACCGAGGCGCTCTACGCCGCCACCCAAAGCCTGCTCAAGCCTGGCGATGAAGTCATCATCTTCGAGCCTTACTTTCCATGGTATCTCCCGCACCTGGAACAGGCACATGCCGTTCCCAAGGTACGTCCTTCGCTTGTGTTTGTGTGTGTGTGTGTGTTTGTGTGTGTGTGTATGTTTGTGTGTGTGTGTGTGTGAGTGTGTGAGTGTGAGTGTGAGTGTGAGTGTGTGCATATACTTCCTGTGTTGTACTTCCTCTGAGCGTGTCTCCGTCTCTGTTTATTCATCTCTTGGTTTTGGATTTGTCCGTCCGCCTCTTTGCAAACCCACCTGCCCGCTTACCAATATGCCCATCGGAACATCCGCACAAACGAACACACAAACACACACACACACACACACACGCATGCACACATGCACACATGCACACATGCACACACACACACGTGTACACTCAAAATCACTCATCAACAACACCTATCACGTGTGCCGTGCAGGTTGTGCGGCTGTCACCGCCCAACTTTGCACTGACGGAGGAAGCATTGGAGCAGGCTGTCAGTGAGAAGACACGCATGATCATCAGCAACACCCCGCACAACCCAACAGGCCGCGTCCTCACGCAGGCAGAGCTGGAAGCAATCGCCTCCGTGTGCCGCAAGCACAACCTCATTGCGCTCTCTGACGAAGTGTACGAGTGCGTTGTGTTTGGCGACCACACGCACCGCCGCCTTGCGGACCTACCTGGCATGCGCGAACGCACCCTCACCCTCGGCAGCGCCTCCAAGATGTTCTCCCTTACGGGCTGGCGCATTGGCTGGTGGACCGGCCCCAAGGTGATTTTGTGTGTGTGTGTGTGTGTGTGTGTGTGTGTGTGTGTGTGTGTGTGTGTGTGTGTGTGTGTGTGTGTGTGTGTGTGTGATTGTGTGATCGTGTGTGTGCGCGCGCGTGTGTATGTGTGTGTGATCGTGTGAGGGTTGCAGTGCTCAAACGACTCTGTTACTCACACGTATTCACACACCCCATGTGCGCTCGTGCACCTGGTGTACAGGAATGGATTGCTGCGATTGCGAAGAAGAAGTCTTTCTGCAGCTTCTGCGCACCAACGCCGCTGCAGCACGCTGTTGCTGGCGCCCTTGACGCAACATCCAAGGAGCAGATGGCCGAGGTGGCACGCCTCTTTGAAGCAAATGCAAAGGACCTCAGCGCCAGCTTGACGGCGATGGGCCTGGATGTCACGAACGTGGAGGGCGGGTATTTTGTCATTGCCGACGTGCGATCCACAGGCATGGATGCAATGACGTTCTGCAAATGGCTCGCGGCCCACAAGCACGTGGCGTGTGTCCCGCTGTCCCTCTTCTCCACGGACCCATCCGACCCACACCTGTCAACGCTCGTCCGCTTTGCCATCTGCAAGAAGCGCGAAACCATCCACACTGCGTGCCAGAAGCTCAACGCGCCCGCGCCATCCTCCTAACCGTTCACACTCACGCAGGTCAACCCACATGCACACAAGCTATGTCTCTCACAATGACTCGTTACAACGATGCACGTGTGAGGCGCCCATTGCCGTGGTCCAGCGTTGTGTAATCAACCTTGTTGTTTCTCCCTCGTTCCCGCTGCCCTCGTTTCTCCTCTCGTCTTTTCCCCTGGTCGTTCGTTTGATCCATCCATCCATACACCCATCCATCCATCCATCCATTCACCCATCCCTCCACCCGTCCCTGTCCTTCCCCCTTCCTCCTCTTCCATCGCTTTCAGCTGCCGCAACCACAAGCGCCCTCACTGTTGTCGTTACCACACTTCATAAACAACTCTTTCAGCGCGTTGTCAGCCCCATCCTTTCGATGGCCTCATGCATCTCAACATTTGTTGGCGTTTTACAATTTTTGACTCCCGAACTACACAACAGAGCTGCGTCGCTTCTCCACACACACACACACACACACACACACACACACACACACACACACGACACACACACACGACACACCGCACACACACACACACTACACACACAACACACACACACACTTAGGCTAACCCAACGCAACGCTTATAGAGTACTGTACACGCGGCTAGAATGCTCCGGAGATGGTACTCCATGGCTGCCGGCATAGCGACAAATGTTATCCTAAGGTATCGCGGCGAGAATACTTTTTTGACCACTGATGCCTTAACAGCCCGGCCCAACGAGTCTTTTGCCACAACGAATCCCTGTCGTGAAAACTTAGCGTCTACAGGACTGTTAGATCGTCGTGCGTTACTCATTACCCGATCTTTTGCCGGTCCAAAAACTCCGACTCGCGCTCCGCTTACACACACACACACACACACACACACACACACACACACACACGCACGCACACACACAGACACACTGCACTACACACTACACTACACTACACAAACACACACACACACACCCGCGCGCAAACATGCCATCGACAACAAAGCACCGTGCACTAATCAGCTATGATGTTGCAGCGGCTTCACGCGGTGGATGACTGCACGCTGCGTGAACGCAGGCCCGTGTGCTCGAGGCGGGCAAACGTGGGCCGCTCGCTTGGGTCCTGCGCCATGCACCGCAGACTCAGCTCCTCAAACCACCCGTCGCACAGCCCATCTGCATGATGATGGTGATAGTGATGGTGACGATGATGGTGATCACGAAATGGGCGTGAGAATGCAATGGCCACACTCCACGTAAAACCTTCCACATGAGCTGTCCCGTTTTCACAAAGACACGCACGTATACACACACACACACACGTACACACACACACGTACACACACGTACACACACACACACACACACACCACAGCGCGCATACACACACACCTGGAAAGTTGAGCCGCTTCCCCTGTGCCAGGAGGTCGTGCAACACAGCCATGAGCGGGCCACGGAAGTCGCCCCCTTTCTCCTGCTCAATCAAGTCTGGCACACGCTGTGTCGCCACCTCCCACATCAGCACGCCAAAGCTGAACACGTCTGCCTTGGCGTTGTACTTGTCGCCCAACAGCACCTCCGGCGCCATGTACAGCGGCGTCCCCACGCCCGCCGTCATCGTCATGCTCGGGTTGATCGTCGCGGTGCCCACTGCCTGCGAGTACTCCAGGTCATCATGAACGGGCAGTGGCGTGAGTGCTGTCGTGGCCGCTGATGTATGCGCGCGCTTGGAGGTGCCACCCGCGAGGCACTGGCGAATGGATCCAAAATCCGTAATCTTGGCTCGCAGGCGCGATGACACCAGCACATTCCCGCTCTTCAGATCTCTGCAGTGCATGCATGTGTGTGTTGTGTTGTGTTGTGTGTGTATGTGTGCGTGCATGAGTTGAGGGTGTTCATGAATGCGTGTGTGTGCGTGTGTGTGAGAGAGTGTGATGGCAACGAACTGCAATAATATCACATCAGATTGCATTGTTTAGGTACACACACACGCGCGCGCAGCCTCTTTCTTTCTCACACACACACACACACACACACACACACACACACACACACACACACACACACACACACACACACACACACACACACACACACAAGCAGACCACCCCCATCCCCCAAACACCTACCCCTCCCCTTCGTACACAAACCTGTGCGCTTGGTCGAGGCTGTGGATAAAGGCCATCCCGCTCGCAACATCACGCAGCAGTCGCAGCTTCAACTCCCACACTGTGTTCACCCCATCACTGGTGTCATCACTTGCATCAACATCCTGGTTCATCTCCACCAACGCTTTCTCCATGTCCTTTCCCAGCAGGTCCTTGAGTGACCCCATGGCCACAAACTCCAGCACCAGGAACGGGCTGCCGTTGGGGTCTGTGCCCGCGCCAAAGAAGCGCACCACGTGCGGGTGCCGTGTCCGTTGCAAGAACTCCACCTCCTTCTCAAACTCAACCACCGTGCTCTCATCAAACATCATCACACCTTGCTGCAGCACTTTGACTGCCACCGTTACCGTGTCCCATTGTGCCTTGAACACCACACCAAACGCACCCGCAGCCACACGCTTGATCATCCTCAGCTCACCGTACTCAATCTCCCACGCCTTCTTCAGCGCCATCACTTCTTCGTCCCTCTCCACCAGCAGCTGCTTGTGCAAGTCTTCGCTGAGCCACAGCCTGTGGTACCGGCGGTACATCCACACCATGGCCAGCCCCAGCGCAAGGCCGCCAATCACAGAGCCGGCAGCAATGCCCGGGATGTTTGGTCGGTCAAGCACACACCGCCCTCCACCCGTCTTCTTGTATCCGCGGGCACACGTGCACTCGAAGAAGTACGAGAGTTCCTGTGCGGAGACGGTTGGGTTGATGTCGGGCCGCAGCACGGTGTTGGTGAGGCGAAGGTTGCACGTGATGCTCGCGCCTTCGAGCTGGAACAGCGGCGGGCTCTCGCGAGAGTGCGGCACGGTCACCTGGTCTGCAAACAGAAACGTCTCCGAGGAGAGCACGGTGATGTCACGCGTGACGGGCGTGAGAAGCGAGGGCCGGTCGAGCCAGTCTGTTTCCGACAGGTCCAGCACCAGCACGTGACGCAGGCACTGGCGCAGCATGGCGTGCGCTGTTGCTGGCGTCTCGAACAGGGGCACGTGCAGGCGGCGTGCGAACAGCATGGTGCTGCCCCACGCCCGGCAGATGGTGTTGGTGGGCTGGATGCGCGTGCCGCTGATGTCGAGGATGTCCACGCTGGGGACAGCGAGGTGGGTGAGCTGGGGGCAGTCGGACACGTTCAAGTGCCTCAGGTTGGATGGGATGGTGACGGATGTGAGCTGCGGGTTGTCTTGCAGAAGCACAGTTGCTTGTGGAAACTGCGGACAGAGGGTGATGGAGGTGAGGGAGGTGCCAACCAGCTGTAGCTCGCGCGTGCCAAACAGGAGCAGGCTGCACAGCTCGTCGTCTGTCATCACGCTTGAGTCCAGCCCGGGCCACCCAAGATGGAGGGTCTCCAGCTGCACTGACGTCCCTCGCTGCTCGGGCTCGCGTGTCGTGTCATCACCATCATCATCATCATCATCATCATCATCATCATCGTCAGCAGCACCGCTGGCAGAGAGGCGCCGCTGGTGTTGCAGGAGTGCTGTGATGACGCTTTCGCTGTTGATGCCTGCAAGCAAGAGCGTGCGAAGGCGGTGGCCCTGCCAGGGCTCGAGCTGCGCCGTGTCAAGCGTGGCCCTGGCGCGCGATGGCGTGTTTGGGCCGGCGTCAAACTCCAGCACATTCACAAACTGCTGTCGCAGCAGGCTGGTGAGGTCGATGTGCGCAATGCGGTGGCGGCGAACGCGCAGGGTGGCCAGCTGGGGCAGGTTTGAGATGTCGGGGCACGTGGTGATGGGGTTGTCGCTCAGGTCAAGCTCACGCAGGTTCTGCAGGTTCATGACGGTGCTGTCAAAGGCGGAGAGGCGGTTGTGGCTGAGCAGCAGCGCGCGCAGCTGTGTTGGTGCTGCGCCGCCGCCAAGGAAGCCGAGCGAGGTGAAGCTGTTGTGGGTCAGGAACAGCATGGTCAGCTGGTGGCTGTTGCGGAAGATGGTTGACGGGAGGTGGCTGAGGCTGTTGCCCTCCAAATGCAGGAGGCGGAGTGTGGTGCAGTTCGCGAGGGTATCCTCATGCAACGCACTGATGGCGTTGTCGTCGAGGAGAAGGTCCCACAGGTTTTGGGTGTTTGCAAGCACGGCCGGGTGCAGGGTGGTGAGGCGGTTTCCAGCCAGGGTTAGCAGCGTCATGCGGGTGAGCGAGTCGAAGGCGGTGGGCGGGATGGAGGTCAGCTCGCACGCGTGCAGGCGGAGCGCGTCGAGGCGCGAGAGGGCGGCGAAGAGCGTCGGTGGGATGGCGCGAAGGCCTGTCACGGCGAGCGACAGGAAGCCCAGGTCCGGCACGTGCTTGAACGTGTCTGGGTGCAGGTGGCGGATGGGGTTGATTTCCATCCACAAGAGAAGCAGGTTCGACAGGTGCCGGAAGAGCCCGCTGTCCACGGTGGTTAGGGTGTTGGCGGAGATGTCGAGGGTGATCAAGCGCGTCAGGTTGCCAAACGCCCCAGGCTCCATCGCCGTGATGTGGTTTGTGTCCAGCAGCAGCTCCTCCAAGCTCGTGAGCGGCGCAAAGACATCGCGCGGAATGTACTCGATGTTGTTGTAGCTGAGCCCAAGCGTGATGAGGCGTGTCATGGACGCGAGCAGGGATGGCCGGATGGTGGTGAGGGCGTTTTCGTCCAGGTACAGGGCGGTGAGCTGTGACGCTTGCGCAAACCTGGTGGTGTTGACGTCCACCAGGTTGTTCCTGCTCAGGTCGAGCGCGTCCAGCTGCGTGAAGGCGTTGAGCCAACTCATGCTGAACACGGCCGTGTTGTCCAGGCCGTGGATGGTGAGGTCCTGCACACCACCCCACACGCCGTTTGCAAGCACCCAACGCAGCGTCTGCCCGGTGATGAGCCCCGTCATCCACACGTGCGTGGTGTTGGCGGTGGCCTGCTGCAAGCGCTCACGCTCCCTCGGTGAGACGGAGAAGAGGAACGTGTCAAAGTGGATGGTGAGGAAGCCCTCCATGCTGGCTCCTTGGCAATCGCCCCGCATGAGCTGGGTCAGGAAGCACTTGTTCAGGTACTCGTCCACGTGCGCCTCAGGGGTGGGATCGAACCCAGCAATGCGCTCATGAAAGAACGTCATGCCATCAACGTCACGACGGCTTCTCCTCTCTGGCTGATCACCTGGTACAGATGGCGACGATTGTTGTTGTTGTTGTAGTTGTTGTTGTAGTTGTTGTTGTAGTTGTTGTTGTAGTTGTTGTTGTTGTTGTTGTTGTTGTTGTTGTTGTTGTTGTTGTTGTTGTTGTTGTTGTTGTTGTTGTTGTTGTTGTTGTTGTTGGCGGTGAAACAAAAGGCGGTGTCGTTGGCGTTGACAGTGGGCAGACGAAGCCTTGCCTTGGATGGCACGACACATGGACGAGATTGTGGGTTCGGGCTGCTGTTGGGCTGCTGATGGTGCGTGACGGGATCCTCTCGCCTGTGGAACAGGCGGAGGCAGCGATGGGGGACCTTCGACAAGCGCTTCATCAGCGACGCCGCTGAGAGTCGGCATGGTGCGTGCTGCTGCCGCTGCTCCTGTCTGCGCAGTTGAAGCCGGGTCAAGGGCCGCATTTGCGCTTGTGTTGGTCTCGGTGACTTGGCAGCCATGCTCCTGCATCAGCTCACGAATCGGAGCCAGCAGTGCTTGAGCATCTGGTACAGAAAAAGGAGGGAGATGAGACGGCAGCACAAGCGTCTCCAGTTTGTCTAATGAGGCAGCGACCTGTTCACACACCATGGATTGGCCATGATGAACCGTTCTTTGATGCATCTGTCATTGCGTGTGAATGTGAGTGAGTGAGTGTGTTTGAGTGAGTGAGTGAGTGTTTGAGTGAGTGAGTGAGTGAGTGACGTGACATGAGGGAGTACAAGACTGCTGCTCAATGCGTTTCACACTGGACTGTAATCTCTTGCCCCCTCCCCCCCCTCTTGTTTCCAACACACACACACACACACACACACACACACACACACACACACACACACACACACACACACACAATCTCACATGACCATGCAACGGGGCAGCACGTAGCGTACCTCCTTGGGTCCACTGTCAGCACCAACACCATCATCATGATCATCGTGATGCTGCTGAGCAGCGACGACGACATGCGCAGGTTGGAGAAGAAGGAGCAGCAACAGGAGCGCAGCTCCACCACGCAGCGACAGCATCGTCGTTGTTTTCGACACCACAAACTGCATTTTCTCGTCACGCTCTTCCCAGCTCTTCAACGCCACTATGGGCTGACGAACGCTGCCAACACAAACGGCAGCGCCAAACACGCACCACACACACCAGCTTTGCTTCTTCTTGCTCTCCCACACACGACGCACTCACTCCGCTCACACTCATTGTTTCGCTTGCACCTGCCTACCTGCACACCATTGATCCAACAAGAACAGCGAACGCAGCAGACAGCGCACTCACCTTCGCAGCAACACCAGTCGAGTCGCAGTCGTTGTTCGCTGTTAACAAACGGTAGCAGCCACCATTTGTGCTTGTTTACTTGAACTTCTTCGTCCGCTTCCTCTGCTCTGAACCGCGGTTCTTCACCCATCCGATACGATACGGTCAGCCACATTACGCGTCAACGTCTGCTCGTTCCACCCCTTTGCTCTATCACACACACACACACACACTCAGTCA